AAACACCGACTTTGTAAACAGCAGAAACTCTATCTGGCAGTCACAAGTGGAAGAACTTTGAGTGGGGAATCCCAGTTGAGTTATGGCAACCTGTGCAGGTGTTCAAATCACTGGCTGATACAGAGCCTGGTGGGGGCTGCGATTACTGTCACCCTCACCCACCCTGACTGTTCAACCAGCACAGTTGGGCAGTAGGCTGCCACCAGAGATGGTGCCACACACGCACACTGTCATCACTGTGAAGGGAAGTGGTGTGGAACCCAGGCTGTTACTTCCATAGGGTCAAACAGGAGCTTGGTCTAACAAGTTTGGAAAGTAAAAGGCTTTGATTACTTGTAATTCCCAAGAGTGATGAACTGTGCTCTCACTGCAAAAGAAAGCATGGTTCAAGTCTGAAACTTGAATATCACAGGTAATGTAAAGTGGCAATAATGTAGCTACTTTGTTGTCAGTGATAGAAAAACAGATTAATATTATAAATTAAAAACATTACTAAGTAACCCCATATGTTGAACAATATACCAAACTTGACATAGTTTCAGCATATAGACTTACTTCTACATGGAAAAAATTTGCATAACATTTTGTTTGTCTCTCTTAACTGGTATAGCTAAATTCACAACTGCCTCTATAATATTGCTACAATTACCAAGATTACACATATGCATAGAACCTAAGAGCTAGAGGGGAGAAAAGCACCACATAAACAGCTGCTGTGCTAACATGCAGTAGTCATAACACATTTTTCTTCTTTTACATTTGGTGATAGTATGTGCAATTTGTCAAAAAGGGAAAAAACTATATTTTTTTTCATATAAAACAGTGATTTTGGCCCTTCTAATTGAATAAAAATGCCTTTATCAGAGTAAAGCTCACATTCTTTGGCTATTAAAAACCAGTTAAAAGTAGTTTCTAAGGATGACGTATCAAAGGGGGAGAGCGCCAACAAATGCAACGTGGTTCCAACCTCTGTGGCCATCATGGGTGTAGTATTTTGGAAAGGTCAGCAGGTCAAGTATACACTACACATCTGAGACCTCACCACACATACACCCTTGGTAGGCTACTCAATCTCCTAGGTTTCATCTGTAAAATGAGGCCCAAGGAGCTGTAGGGATCAAATGAGATGATGCATAAAGATGTCCCACACCTGGTCACCAAGCAGAGGCAGACACACTTATCATAAGGCTCTAGTGCCAGGCACGGGGCCCTCTTTCTCTGACGCTCCTCCAGAAGACTCTGAACAGGAGAGGGCACTCAAATGGTGACCAAGAAGAGATAGTTACGGCCTATCTACTACAGGAGGATATGATAGTCATTTTTAAATATAGTTGTGTGCCGCATAATGGTCCGGCCTATCTACTACAGGAGGATATGATAGTCATTTTTAAATATAGTTGTGTGCCGCATAATGGTGTTTGGGTCAACAACAGACCGCATACATAATGGTGGCCTCATGAGATTATAATGAAGCTGAAAAATTCTTCTTGCCTACGAATGTTGTAGCACAACACTACTCGTGGGTTTGTGGTGATGTTCGTGGGAATAAACTTATTGTACTGCCAGTTGTATAAAAGTCTAGCACATATAATTACACACAGTACATAATAGATAATGATAATAAATCACTGTTACTAGTTTATGTATTTACTATACTATACTTTGACCCTGTGTAGGCCTAGTCTAATGTGTGTGTTTGTGTCTTAGTTTTTAACAAAAATGTTAAACATTTTTTTAAATAGAGAAAAGCTTATAGAAGAAGGATAATAAAGAAAGAATAGGCCAGGCATGGTGGCTTACGCCTATAATCCTAGCACTCTGGGAGGCTGAGGCGGGAGGATTGTTTGAACTGAGGAGTTCGAGACCAGCCTGAGCAAGAGCAAAACACCGTCTCTACTAAAAAAAACAGAAAGAAATTAGCTGGACAACTAAAAAAAAATTACAAACACACACACACATATATTAGCCGGGCATGGTGGCGCATGCCTGTAGTCCCAGCTATTTGGGAGGCTGAGGCAGAAGGATTGCTTGAGCCCAGGAGTTTGAGAGGCTGAGGCAGAAGGATCGCTTGAGCCCAGGAGTTTGAGATTGCTGTGAGCTAGGCTGACGGCATGGCACTCTAGCCCAGGCAACATAGTGAAACTCTTGTCTCAAAAAAAAAACCAAAAGAATATTTTTATATAGCTGTACAATGTGTTGTTTTAAGCTAAGTGTTAATACAAGAGAGTCGAAACATTAAAAAATTAAAAAGTATATAAAGCAAAAAAGTTACAGTAAGCTAAAGTTAACTTATTATTGAAGAAAATTATTTTTTGATAAATGCAGAGTGGCCTAAGTATACAGTGTTTACAGAGTGTACAGTGGTGCACAGTAGAGCCCCAGGTTCCACGTTCACTCACCACTTACTCGCTGACTCACTCAGAGCAACTTCCTGTCTGGCAAGCTCCATTCATGGTAAGTGCCCTAAACAGGTATACCATTTTTTTTCTTTTATACCATATTTTTACTATGCCCTTTCTATGTATAGATACATGAATACTTACTTGCCATTGTGTTACAACTGCCTACAGTATTCAGGACAGTAATACACTGTACAGGTTTGTAGCCTGGGAGCAACAGGCGATAGCGTATAGCCTAGGCGAGTAGTAGGCTAGACCATTTAGGTTTGTGTTAAGTACACTCTATGATGTTCACACAATGATAAAATTGCCTGATAACACATTTCTCAGAATGTATCCCCATTGTTAAGGAACACATGACTGTATTAACTCTGTTCTGAGTAATTAAAAATATATATATATTTTTAAGAAATGGGTCTCACTATGCTGTCCAGTCAGGCCTCCAACTCCTGGGCTCAAGCGATCCTCCCACCTCAGCCTCCTAGTAGCTGGCACTACAGGCATGCGCCACTGTGCCGACCTACAGCGCACTCTCTGCACACCTTTACTGTAATGCTAATCAAACTGTATTGAAATTGATATCTGGCCTTTCCCATTGGATTATACCATGTCTTATTTTTCAAATCTCTTCATTTTTTACATCAATTATCTTTTTTCTTTTTCTCATTCCTCAAGTACTTTATAAAATTTAAGGGCCTGCCAATGTTATACAGTGGTAAAATATGGGGGTCACAGACTTGCATACCCCAGGAACCAGCCAGTCACTGTAAACAGGCCCAGTATGGGATGATCAGTGGCGTGAGCTGATGACCAGTGGCTGCGACCACAAGCGGCAGCGCGGGAGCCTTCGCAGGTGGGAGTGTGGCAAAGCAGACTGTGCAGGCCCCGCGTGACGGCAGCTGCTTTTAATTCTGCTTGATTCTGCCATGTGAACCCAATGTGTCAGAGCCTCCAGGTTTCAAAAGATGCCAGAAATCTGGAATTTTACATAAAACATTTTCTTTAAAAGATGCTGATTCAGAAAAAAATGTGGGCCAAAAAGGCACATTTGTGGGACCAGGTGCAGCTCATGGACCCCAGGTTTCTGACCTTTGCTTTAGTGACACTGAAGTGCATGCAGGTGGAAGCCAAACTAGCCTTGAGATCCATGCAAGATTCCTGATGTGTTCGTCTCCGAGGGGCAAAGGCGAAGTGCCCAGGAGTCTGAGAGGAGGTTGGAAGAACCACATCCGGAGGGAACAGAATTAGGTCTTGTAGAAGTAACACAGAAAGCAGGGAAGCTTTTCTTTCACGTCGGCTGCTGAACATCATGCTTACGATGAAAACCAAATAGCTGCCCAGCACAAGCAGACACTCCCTCCACCAGCCCACAGCGTCCAGACTTCCTGGGCTTCCTGTTTCTCCGCAGCTACACTGTGGAGTGTCACCTGACACTACATACATCCTTACTGATCCACGTATGATCTGCCTCCCTCACCAGACTGCAAACCCCACTGGACAGGGGTTTTGACAAGTTTTGCTCCCTGTTGTACCTCCAGCAACTAGAGCACTGCCCGGCACTTGGCAGGTCCCAAGGGATTCACTGTGTGCTGCTCTCTGGGCCCCAGCACTGTCCAGCAACCCCTTGGGGACTCTGGGCTGCCCTCTGTTCTATTCTCGGCATGGCCCATGCAAGCCCCCTCTGTGCACCCACCCAGAGTAAACCCCAATAGGCACCCTGATCCTCGGGCCACCGCCAGCCTGGCCAGCTGTGTACCTGCTCTTTCCCTCCCCTGCAAGATGGATGAAGCGACCCCTGGCCTCCTGGATGCAGGGATCCTCTCCCTTTACACCCATTCTCCTCTCTGCTGTTCCTGTCGGCCTTTAAACACACTCACCACCTATGACCTCGCCCTGCTGCCCACTGCCACTCTCCTACAGCTGTGTCTTCGGCCAAATCTCTGGCTGATACTGGGTCTTTCACATCCAACATCTTCTGTCATCTCCACTGGACACGTCGCAACTCTGTTCCAGGCCAGGTGCGGTGGCTCACACAGGCAATCCTAGCACTCTGGTAGGCAGAGGCAGGAGGATCGCTTGAGCCTGAGAGTTTGAGGTTGCTGTGAGCTAGGCTGATGCCACGGCACTCTAGCCTGGGCAACAGAGTGAGACTCTGTCTCAAAAAAAACAACAAACCTCTGTTCCTCCTGTTGCGCTCTCGTGTATATCAGTGAACGACGTGATCATCTGCCCACTTGACCAGGCTCTACACCTTCTCCACCCCATCTTTCTCCTTTGCTCCCGTATCTGACAGTTACTAGGTCTTACTGTCATGCGCTGTCATTCCTTTCAGATCCATCTCCATCTCCACCCCCAGCTGCTATCCATTCCAGCTCACCCACTGCCACCAGGACATCGGCCTGATGACCCGTATTGAGTGCCGAATGTTTTTTTTCTCGGACAGGAAGCTATGAGAGGATCCTGCTTTACTCTCACTAGGTAACATTTAGATTTAATATGGCACAGCAAAGGAGCCTTTAAATTATTCTACTGTCATATGCTATAAAAACACTGGTCAGAGCATCTATGCATACATAATGAGAATAAAGTAACACAAAGTACCTTTCATACCTGGACCGAGCAACGGTGACCGATTCAGCTGCGCACTGGCCTGGTGCGGGGGCGGCGTCTCTACCCTGTGTGTGGTGTTGCTCACGGCGGCGGCGGCGGTGGTATTGGTCGTGGTACTGCTCTGGATGACCGGGTTGTTTCTATCCCACATGTTGACAGTTTTATTGTTATAGTTGCTTGGGTCCCCCCAAGCTGAGGTACCATCATCGATTTCCATTTTGCGTCGGATGGATGGTGGAGAGGGTTCCTCCCAGCCAGTCGCCTCGCTGCAGTCCTTCTGTTTGAGAGGTGCTGGCCCCCCAGCCCACCCTGCTCCTGTCTGTTTCACAGAAGCAGCTCCTCCCCAGTTACTCACATTGTTGTCATGGGGTTTGTTAACCCAGTTCTGTTGGGGACCTGGTTTTAAAGACTCCCCCCAGTTTGTGCCTGGATTGACCTTTGCATTTGTGCCATTGCCCCAGCCACTGGTCCCAGACCTCGCAGCATCATTCCAACCAGACCCTGACCTGTTGCTGTCTGCATCCCACCCAGATCCATTTTTTTTTCCATCCCCCAAGTGTCCGAGGACAGATGAGGAATCTGCCCAATCGCCCCCTCCTGCACCCCAGGCTGGATTTGATCTCTGTCCATCTCCCCAGTTTTGGGATTTGGGTTTTTGAGGCTCACCCCAGGTGGGTGACTTGTCCTCCTGATTTGCGGTCCCACTCCAAGCATGGCCACTCTTGGTGGCAGCAGCATTGTTAACAGCAGTAGAGCTTATCGAGTCTCCCCACACCCCTGGCCCACTCGGCGCTTTGCTGTTGCTGTCTCCCCAGCCTGTGTTTGCTGGCACAGCGGCAGGTGGCGAGCTGACCCACCCAGATACTGAAGAGGTATTTGTACTGTTCATGATGGACCCATCGTTCTTCCCCCCTGAGTTTGAAGGCTGAGTAGCTGCGCAACCCCAGGCCTCTGTCCCATTGTCATTTTTCCTTTCAGACCTAGGGGATTCTTCAAATTCCCAGGCAGTGTTTTGCTTTACAGGAGTCTGTCCCCAACCAGTATTAGACAGAACTCTCGGGTCGAGATCATTCCTTGGCAATTGGATGTGCCCTTGGTCTATAGTCCCTTTGTCCCGCCTTCGGCCTTCTCCGGTTCCTTCCCGCCCAGTGCTTCCTTCACTGTGACTGCCAGAGCCATCGCTGCTTCCTTCACTTGCTGTAGTTCCAGAAGATGCAGCTTTGGCCCAAGAGTTCAAGTGTTCACTGCCAGGCTGCACGGTAGGGTTCTGGCTGGTGACACTGGGACTCTCCCACCCTGTCGATCCTTTCCCACCGATGTCACTACTGGAATGCTGGTTTGGGGGCTTTCCCCACTCCCCATTCACACCATTGGAGGTGCTCCGGCTGGGGTGGCCCCATGCTCCTGAATGGATATTACCAACGCCACTGTTGCCATTGCCCCTTCCCCACGCAAGTATTCCAGGACCAGTAGGTGGGCCTGAATCCCAAGCGTTTCCTCCGTTTCCTTCCTTCTGCACAGCACTGCTGGATCCATTTTGTTTAGCACTTAATGCTGAGTTCACAGTGTCTCCATTCCCCTGACTGAACCCAGAACTGCTATTTCCTGTGGCAGGGTTACCTGGGGACAGTCCCCACACAGAATTGCTTATTCCTTCACCACCACCCCCACTGACTTGAGAGACTGATGATCCATTAGCACCAGGAAGGCCTTGCAGGTGGGGCGGGATGATGGCCCCCATGCCAACAGCCATGCCCCAGTTTGGCAGTCCGTTCGTCTGCATTGCATTGATAGGGTTTGGTGAAGAGTTCATGGGGTTAGTGTTATTTGGTCCATCAGTGTTAAGGTTCTGAGGTTGTACGCTGAAAGACACATTCTGAGAAGTGGACGTTTGTGGTTCTGTGCTCTCTTGCGGCAGCAAGTTTCCCCAAGCACCTAAAGTGCCTGCTGGGTTCCCATTCTGGTTGCCCATGTTTTGACCTATGGCACTGACTGGACTGCAAATACTGGAAGGGTTGCCTGTCGCCACAGTTCCTTCGTGTCCCAGTACAGGCCAGGCAGCTGGGTTGGCATTAGGGTTAAGGTTAAGATTAATGCCAGCATTGGAGTTGGAAGCACCCCAGCAGTTCTGACTTCTCCCATCTCCAATCATGTTGTCCATTTTTCCATCCCCACCACTGACAGAGCAGTGAGCCAGGCCAGAGCCGGAGCCTGTGGCTACACCCCACACTCTGGCCGCACCCCCGTTACTGTTTGCTCCGCCCACCCCAAGGGCACTCTGGTTGGAAGGGCTTTGGACGAGTGCGCCATTGGTGCCATTATTGCCATTTGTCTTCGTGGTGTGTCCAGTGAAGTTGCCCTGGGCACTCCCCGTAGCCATGCTACTGTTCTCTGAGCCACAGTTGGAGGCAGAGTCAGTGTCCGTGGTACATTCTGAGGCAGATTCCGTCTCTGCTCCTGTGATGGAAGGCCACGCCTCCTTGTCAGTCCTGTCTATTATCACTTTATCCCAGCTGCAGTTGGCTTCACTTCTGTAAGTGGGCTGCTGTCCCCAGTGGGAATTTTCATAATGATCTGCCAATCCACTGTGACTGAGATCTGAAAAAGATGAAACAAAATTCAAAATTAGATTTTCTTCCCAACTGTCAATGAATAGACTGTTAACTAGTCTTTGGGGAAGCTCTTTATTTCAAGTTTTCAATTCTGAATGATAAACACTAAAAAATGACTTAAAGAAAAGTTATTTGTCTTCTAACAGCTCTCATTGTAGAGAGAGCTAATGTTTCTAAAATTATATTAATTCTTACTGCTACACCACACTGTATTCCCCCTGAAGAAGATTCACAATGCACATTGGCACATGGCATCTCTGAAAGCATTTACAGTAAGGAAGGCAGCTCTGAAAGGTATGTGACTTCATAAATACGCAACTCTTATAAATACGTAGACTCTTTGGGAAACACTGGCAATGACACTAAAGTTCACATGGACTTTCAAAAAACAACTTGTAGTTCTCAAGACCTCTAATCCGAGTTACAGTATGGTACAGAGGCCATACACAGCTCTTTCAGTATAAAGAAATGTAAACGCATTGCAGAGTCAAATAACAGAACCAATACGGGGGGAGCTGAGGGAGGGAGAGAAGACATATTAGACAATGCTATTGTATGTTATCAAGGATACTTAGGGTTAGAAATGATTAATTACATTTGTATTACTTTATCTGATCTTATCTGCAATTTAGTTTATCATTGTTTCCTGTGTATTAATAAATTCTTAGCCCTCTAGTATCTTCTTGGATCTCTCAATCTCTAAGGATTCTTTCTACACTTGTTTTCTATTTCCTTTTAGATTTTTTTCGAAGATCCCCAAAATAACTTTACAGGATATCTCCCTATAGCATTACCATCATTTCACTGTTATGATCCTACATTTGGTATCTGCAATTTATCTCCTATGACTTTCCTAATTATTTGAGTATTTCCAACATTGTAATCAAACTTATATTCCAGTAAATTTTCCAGTAGACTTTATTCAAAGTATGTACCACTCAAAAATAAAGTAAAAGAAATGTTAAAAAAAATCATTTAGCCTAGAAATCCTTAGTAGAGTTTCTTTAAATAGTATGATATAGCTGGGTGTGGTGGCTCACGCCTGTAATCCTAGCACTCTGGGAGGCCGAGGCAGGACAATGATCGCTTGAGCTCAGGAGTTTGAGACCAGCCTCAGCACGAGTGAGACCCTGTCTCTACTAAAAATAGAAAGAAATTAGCTGGGAAACTAAAAAAAAAAAAAAAATATATATATAAGATGTGGTGGCACATGCCTGTAGTCCCAGCTACTCGGGAGGTTGAGGCAGGAGGATCGCTTGAGTCCAGGAGTTTGAGGTTGCTGTGAGCTAGGCTGATGCCACGGCACTCACTCTAGCCCGGGCAACAGAGCGAAACTCTGTCTCAAAAAAAAAAAGAGTATGATATATAGGTAAATTATAATAAAATATTTTCTATTCTTTTAGAACCTTTTAATTATTATGTTCTCTTCAAATTTATTGTAACAAGAACAGTCTTATTCGTGGACAGTTAAAGCATGGGTTTCTCAAAGAAATTTTCTTTTAAAGTTCCCTTTTAAGGAAAAGCAGGAAGTATGTAAAGAATTATCACTATCATTAGAAAGAACATACAAAAGCTAATATCGACCTTAAGAAAAAAAAAGATTTTTGTTGCCTGATCTGAAAGTAATGTCATGAATTTAGAATTATGCTCTAGGTGATTCCAAAGTAGGTAGCTAATTCCAAGTGAAAATTACGAAGGAAAAATGAAGACAGGCAACAGAAAACTTTAAGTATCTGAGCTACTATAAAACAACTAAGTTTTTAATTGCTAAATATTAGGTGTTGGCTCTGCAACCGTGGTTTATGACAATTTTCCCTGTTGGTTTTACAAATACCCTAAAAACAAGTTACATAATAACTAATTTAAAGAGATAAATGAGCCATTCATCATGTAACACAGAAAATAAGACCAAGTTAACAGAGAGTATGGCCTGTTGCCAGTAAGCACTACCTTTCATTTTGCCATCAGTCTGGCTTCCCCCAGGGACAGGCTTTGCTACAGGCAGGCCGCCGCCCCCTGACTGGGACAGCACTCATTGCAACCCATACTCAGAAAGCAGGAGGTTTAACAACCTGGCTTACCAGAGCACTCCTTTCCACATGTGGGTTCCACTGAACACACAGTATTATCTTCCGTTCCATAACAGTCACACTGTAAAAGGATCAGCCCTTTGTTAATGGTCTATTTTGAGGATTTGTGTGAAATGCTGTTTGAGGATTGCTCAGCCCCCAATTTGCTGGGTTCACACTCAGTTATATGACTGGTTTGACAGAAGAACAGCATTACAAGCTAGTAGAGAAAGGTAGGGCTAAATAGATGCTGTCAAACAAATTAGCTAGCCACATGAAAAGACCAAAAGTAGATCCCTTATTTCATAATGTAAATAAAAATAAATTCTATATAAGGTAAAGGTCTAATTATGAAAAGCAAAAATTTTTAAAGCTTAATAAAGAAATGTAGGAGTTTTTCTGTGACTTTGGACGTCCTATTTTCTTAGAGAAGATATAAAATGCATAAGCCATAAAAAGCTGATAAATTTGACTATGTTAATATTAAAAACATCTTTGTGACAAAAGACATCATATAATGGAAACAAGCCACAGGCAGGGAAAAGATTTAACAGAAAAAGAATGATTATCAGATTAAAGAACAACTACAAATCAATAAAAAAAGACCAACAACCCAACAAAAAATGGAAAAAGGATAGGAACAGGCAATTCAGAGAAGAGAAAACCCATATATGCATTAACATATGAAACAATAATCAACCTCATTAATAATCAAGAAATGAGCTTTAAGATGAGACATCATTTTGCACTCTAGATGGAAGAAGTTACACACACTAAAATATGAGGACTAAAGTGGTTCTCTCTGGGGGCGGGGACCAGAATGGGATTGGGTGTGGTGCCTAAAACATTTCTAAAATAGAAAGCCCTGAAGCAAATATGGCAAAATATTGTTAAATCTCTATTATGAATACCATTATATTATTTTTTGTACACTTCTATTTTCAAAAAATTTAAATGCTTACATGTTATACAAATGAGGCGGCATAGTAGTATGATTAAAAAATCCATCTGATCACCGAATTAAGAGTCTAATTTCTCAAGGTGAGTTCCTGGAGAACATGGCTAGTATCTTTTTAGTTTTATATGTATAATGCTTGCCACATATCAGGCAATCAACGTATGTTTCTTGGGCAAACAAAAGCATAAATGTATACAGCCAAAATCTGAGTTCCACCTGAAGTCATCAACGAGCTGAATAGTCTGAAGTCATTTCTCAACTCTAAGAAGATGATGTTGGGCAGGGTGCAGTGGCTCACGCATGTAATCCTAGCACTTTGGGAGGCCAAGGTGGGAGGATCTCTTAAGGTCAGGAGTTTGAGATCAGCCTGAGCAAGAGAAAGATCCCATCTCTACAAAAAAATAGAAAAATTAGCCAGGCATGGTGGCTCACAACTATAGTCCCAACTACTCAGGAAGAGGCTGAGGCAGGAGGATGGCTTGAGCTCAAGAGTGTGAGGTTGCAGTGAGCTAAGATGATGTCACCACACTCTAGCCCAGGGGATGAAGCGAGGCCCTGTCTCAAAAAAAAAAAAAAAAAAAAAAGATGATGTTAAACTATATAACCCCTAACGTTCTCAGCTCTAAAACTTGTAATTTCTAGATCTTATATATACTACATATACTATACAGTATTTACAGTATATAGTAACTGTAGTATATATGCTATATAGAGTATACTATATGTATTACATATACTATACATATGCTATATATAATACTATATGAGAACCACAAACACAAAATCAAGCAACATACCTGGCACAGTCTCAACTACAACATTAAAGCAAAGATTTTTTTACTGTGATAAAATACACACGACAGGCCGGGCGCGGTGGCTCACGCCTGTAATCCTAGCACTCTGGGAGGCCAAGGTGGGAGGACTGCTTGAGTTCAGGAGTTCAAGACCAGCCTGAGCAAGAGCAAGACCCCGTCTCTACTAAAAATAGAAAGAAAAAAAAAAAGTTAGCCAGTCAACTAAAGATAGAAACAAAAAATTAGCTGGGTGTGGTGGCTCGAGCCTGTAGTCCCAGTTACTCGGGAGGCTGAGGCAAGAGGATCACTTGAGCCCAGGAGATTGAGGTTGCTGTGAGCTAGGCTGATGCCATGGCACTCACTCTAGCCTAGGCAACAAAGCAAGACTCTTTCTGAAAAAATAAATACACATAACATGAAATTTACAATTTTAACCCTGATGAGTATACAGTTCAATGGTAATAAGTACATTCACGTTGTTGTGCAACCATTACCATCATTTGTCTCCAGAACTTTCCCATCATTCCAAACTAAAACTCTGTACTCACATTAAACAGTAATTCTCCATCCCCCAGGCCCTAGTAAGTTTCATTACACTTTTTGTTTCTATGAATTTGATTATTCCATGTTCCTCCTATTGGTGTAATCATACAATATTTGTCTTTTTGTTACTGGCTTATTTCATTTAGCAAAATGTCTTCAAGGTTCATCCATGTGGTGGCATGTATCAGTACTTCATTCGTTTTTATTGCTGGAAAATAATCTACTTTATGGCTATTTCTCTATTTATTCGTTTATGGACACTTGGGTTGCTTCCACCTTCTGGTTACTGTGAATAATGTTGCTGTGAACACCAGCGTACAAATATCTGTCCTATTCCTTGCTTTAAATTTCTTTGTGTATATACCCTGAAATGGAATTGTTGGATTATATAGTAATTCAATGTAATTTTCTTTCTTTTTTTTTTTTTTTGAGACAGTCTCACTCTGTTGCCCAGGCTAGAGTGCCGTAGCATCAGCCTAGCTCAAAGCTAGCTCAAACTCCTGGGCTCAAGCAATCCTCCTGCCTCAGCCTCCCGAGTGGCTGGGACTACAGGTATGTGCCACCACGTCCAGTTAATATTTTGTATATATTTTTAGTTGGAAAATTAATTTGTCTCCATTTT